AATTATCATTAAACTTCAAATTTTAATATCAAGTTCACCATTCGTCAATTAAGTGATGAGGTGGTTAAATATTCCATCCAAAAATTTATTTCCTTTAATTGTAAATATTGCATGAAAATGTGACAGAAATTCAAATGTTAATGTGGCAATTTTTCTTCCCATGTGCCATTCATGTTTGTATTTTCGTACTTTAAAAATTAAAAACAAGTGATGGGTTCCTTTTAATTCACAAATCAAAGCAATTAATTTAAAAAATTAAATCATTCTTTATTTGTTAACAATTAAACAAACTTAAATTATAGAAACAATTTATAATTAAAAAGGATTAATTATCTAATTAATTATTTTTAATTAAAAAAAACTAATTTTTCTTTTTCTCTTTCTTGTTCATCATATTCTTCAACTAATCTTTTCTAATCAAACAGCAACAAGTTTTCGAAAAAAAACATCAATAAGTTTTCAAAAATCTCAACAACCAAACAACACTCATGAGCAAAATTTGCTTTCATCTCTAAATTCTCTCTTCTCCCTCGTCTTCCTCTCTTTCTTTCTTTCTGTAAGAGCAATTGGAGAGAAACAAAGAGGCTATTTTCACTACAAGAAAAATGATTTTTGGTGACAAAAATTATGATGAATTTTAAAATAATCACTATAACTTATCACAATTATGACAAATCTAAAAAATTAGTCAAAAATTCATCATAAAAAATATATTTCCTAAAAAAATTTTTCTCCCAGTGTGTTTTGCCTACTTCTCTACTAATTGTTACTTTGTATTAGATTGTTGGCATGAGGGACAGGCAGAGGGACAGGCAGATGCTACTCAATAGAGATCAAATGACTTGTTAGCTTTTTTTCTCACCTGCAGCAATCCTGCGATACCTCTGTATTTTTTCTTCTCCGATCTGAGCTTCTCATTCTAGTAAGCTTTTAACCTTTATCTCTGTTCTTGGGTATTGTGTTTGTGCTAATTCTGTAGAAAAATAGAGGAATAGCACATGTTTGAGTTGGGCAATCATTCATGTTTCTGTGTATATTTGGGAGAAGAATGACTGCAAGAAACTCTAAATATTTATGGTGTCTAGTAAGCATAATTGAATAATCATGCAAGTCTATAGTCGTCGAAGTGTTGATTTTTCAATTTCTGGGTTTGATTAGCAGAGCTGAAAGGGCAGCTGCAAACTAACCATCGATATGGTCCAAAACAGAAATTTGAATTGTTTTTTGGTAATGTGTTAACTGTTCTTCAGACACTGGTTGAAACCTGAAACAAAATTCAGTTGCAATATTTTACTTTGTCGAGAAAATATGGGGATGGTGGAAATTTAGTGCATGTTTGGTGCAGCTGGTGAGAAGTGCTTTTGAAGTCCAAATGCTCCAGCTGCACCAAACACCCAAGTTTTTGAAACTGGCTTCAGCTGAAGAGAAGTTCAAGCCAGCTTCCACCTTTTGAAAGTGGAAGAAGCAAGAAATCCTAATTTTTGCGCATGCTTCTAGCTTCCTTATAATGAAAATTGCCCATTATACCTATTTTGCCCTCATATTGTACTGTTAAAAATCCCTAATTTTGCATCTCTGTCTGCTTCCCGATTGCTCCTCTCTACCCATCTTCCATCTTCCATCTTCCATCTGCAACACTTCTCACCAGATCCTGAGCTTGAATTTTCCGGCATCCTCATCTGCCGATTGTTCCTCTCTACCCATCTTCTCCATCTGCTGATTGCTCCATCTTTTTCCCCTTTTTCTGATTTCGCATCTCCCTCTGCCGATTGCTTGCTGTACCCATCTTCCATCTGTCGCACTTCTCACCAGATACCGATTTCGGCATCCTCATCCCAGATCCAGCGGTTAATCTCCCTTTCCTCAAACTTTAATCTTCTAGATTGTGGGTTTTATTACTGTGGGTAATTACACTGATAATATTAGTATTAGCTCTTAGGTGATGGGGAAATGTCAATCCTGGGACTCAAACTGCATATCACCAGGAGTGCCCTCACTTTGCTTCTGAATGAGAAGTGCGGCAACTGGGGCCACATGGGTGAATGGCTAATTTGTAGTATAATTTAAGTTAGTATTTCTGAGAGATGGGACCTTGAGATTTGAGTATTTGAAAGAAAAAATAAACTCGGCACATCTGAAGTTTCTTCTGTTTTTTCTAGTTTTTCTAGTTTTTCCCTGCTCACCTACCAGGAAAACTGGTTTTCTTGTAATGTGCCTACTTTGATATGTTGATAAGATTTGGAAGTGGAATCTGAATTTGGGGATTAAGAAGTTGTTTCTGCATCTAAGATGCTATCCTCTGGTTTTCTTTTCTGTTAACCTTTTTTCTTTTCTTTTCTTTTGTTTTTTGGCTGAATTTTGACATTGCATGTAATGCTAGTGTAACATTTTAAGTTTGTTTTTGCCCAGTAAGTTGTACTGGCATTATAATTTATAAGCGATGGAGGCCTTCCCTAACCTTAGAGGTCTGCATTTCACTTATTGGACTTTACATTGAGTGTTGATTCTAGTAAGCTTTCCTGTTTGAAAATACCTTGAAACCCAAAATCATTTTTCTCTCTACTCAAAGTATTCCCAGCTTTCCTCCCTCTCTCCATTGCCCTTTCTTTAGCATCTGAAATGAGCTTGCCTCTTGAAGTTTCTCGACTTTCAGTCTGTATTTTCCTTGTTTATTTGCTTTTGTATGAAGGCACGCCTCTGCCATGCAGAATGACAAAGGAAAAATTACCTTGTACAATCTGTTTTTTTAAAGATCTGGATGCTGCCATCATTTATGAGTGTGTGATTGTTAACATGTCATTTAAAACTTCTTTGTGGTGTGAATGTGGCATCAAATGTAGGTTAGGTCCTGCCTCCCACTTTCCCATCCCCCTTCCCCCCTCATTTTTTTCATTCTCCTTTCTTTTTGTACTGTTACTTTTGTTTTGTTTTTTGTTCTTCATTTAAAGGACAGAGACATGCTTCGCTCAACTGGTATTTTTTTTGGATAAACACTCAGCTGGTAATTGATGTTTTCTTTTTGATATCACTGTATTGTAAATCCCCTATTATGCCTCTTTTGTTGTCTTTCTTATTTATTGGGTGTGGATGACGCAAGTAGACAGCTTAGACCAGTTCAATTCTTAATGTTGTTTGAGCTTGGTGAGTTAGTTAGTTAATGATATTATTATTATCTCTTTACTTGTCTTCCTGTTTTCCTGTTCCTGGTTTTGATGATCTTTCATATTTGTTGCAGCTTTCTGTGAGGAACTGTTTCATTAGAGGATTAGTTGTGAGATATGTTCAACTACCACCCGAAGGAGTGGATGTCAAATTACTTCATGACGCCGCAAGAAGAGAAGCTCGAGGCGGCTGAAATTGATAGGTCGACCTTTTCACTTTCAGCGTATTGTAATGAACATCAAAACATCTGCATTAAATGCTTTAGCTTGTTGCGGTTTTTTCTTCAGACCAAACCTTATCTTGACATTGCTGATTGCTGTTTGTATGCGACAATTTAATGAAAAAAATTTTCATTGAGACAGTGCCAATTAATCAGTATTTATCATATCTTGGCTGCATGATTAACTCCTCTAATCTAGGAAACTCCTAATCTGTACTTTGATATGATCATGATTATTAATGGAAACTCAAGGTACAAAATTCTTAACCTTAAAATTTTTAATTCACGGGGATGCCACATTTATTGTTTTAAACGCATTAAAAATGACAAGTCAACGTCATCATTCCAATTGGGTGAGAGAGCAAGGGACGTTAATGGAGTCATGAGATATTTAATAGTAAATTAATTTTCTATCAAATTGAGACTTTATTTAAGAATTTCATATAATTTGAAATTTTAACTTAGTGCAATTGAAGTTTAGGTTTAGAATTATGAATTCTGTGCAAGTTTAGGTTTAAAAAGAATTGAAACTTTATAAAAATGACAAAAAAAAAAGAAAAAAAGAAAAAAGAGAGAGGGAGAAGTAATGGTTTTTTTTTTAAGAAAATGTTTTTTTCATTTTTAATGGAAAATCAATCAAAGTAATTATTATTGTCAATTTTTATTTTTTTTTCTTATTT